TGGGTTACCATTCATCCAGATGTTTATTTTGATTGGTTTTGATTTGGATGTTGCTAAGCAATTTAACTGTTCCAAACCAGCTGTAGGTGGACTTTCCAAGGTGTGCATTTTCATGGATATTGGCCTACAAGTTCTGGCCTACGAGTTCACTTACTCAGTTCAGGCCTAGTGGGACTCTTTCTGCTGTCTCAAGTCCACATACCAGGAGCAATTACAATGGCTTGCCTGCCCGGATCATCAAGAAAATTTTAACCATTTGGCCAAGCCTTGGCTTTGTTTTGGGGTTTTGCTTTAGCTGTCCTGGAGTCTCTCTGTTCAGGATGTGTCCTGAGTGGGGCTATGCAATTGCCTTCACTCAAGTGGTGTCCCACAACTTCAGTCGATCTGGAGAGGGTGTCCATTCCATTGGAATAGCCTGTAACCCATATGCTCCACTTGCCACATTTTCCAATGATAAAGCCATTTGTGGTGCCTGTTTGAAGTCCGGTTGGGCTTCAGCCAGTAGGTGCTTTTGCATGGTCACATCATTAATCCTATATACCAAATTGTCTCTCAGCATCTTACTTGGGGTTAAACCAAAATCACAAGCCTCTGCCAGTCGTTTTAACCTTGTCAAAAATCCCATTACGGATTTCCCTTGTTCTCAAACTGCCAATTAAAACTGATGGCGTCTCAGAATTACAGGAGGCTTGGGGTCATAATATTCCTTAGATAAATCCACCAACCCATCAAATCTTTCAAAGGTTTCAATATCTGGTGCCTCAAGGAAAGTTAGGCTTCTAATAACCAAAAAAGCTGTGGGTCCACAAGTGATTAGGAGAGTTACTCATTGTTTTCCACATACTGGGCCCAGTCTTCGATAGCAGGATCAAACGAGTCAAGTTTCCCAAACAGCGACATGATGCCAGGAATTCTTACCCAACTCAAAGACAACTGTTGTGAGTGAATTGAGTAAGTGAGTGAGTGAGATTGGTGGAGTAGCAGATAGTGAAGGGGACTGTTGGAGAATGCAGCAGAATATAGATAGATTGGAGAGTTGGGTGGAGAAATGGCAGATGGAGTTCAATCCAGGCAAATGTGAGGTGATGCATTTTGGAAGATCCAAGTCAAGAGCGAACTATACGGTAAATGGAAAAGCCCTGGGGAAAATTGATGCACAGAGAGATCTGGGTGTTCAGGTCCATTGTACCCTGAAGGTGGCAATGCAGGTCGATAGAGTGGTCAAGAAGGCATATGGCATGCTTTCATTCATCAGACAGGGTATTGAGTATAAGAGTTGGCAGGTCATGTTACAGTTGTATAGGACTTTGGTTCGACCACATTTGGAATACTGCGTACAGTTCTGGTCGCCACATTACTAAAACGATGTGGATGCTTTGGAGAAGGTGTAGAGGAGGTTCACCAGGATGTTGCCTGGTATGGAGGGCGCTAGCAATGAAGAGAGGTTGAGTAGATTAGGATTATTTACATTAGAAAGACAGAGGTTGAGGGGGGACCTGATTGAGGTCTACAAAATCATGAGAGGTATAGACATGAATGGGCAGGGAGCAGAGGGATACAGATCCTTGGAAAATAGGGGACAGGTTTAGATAGAGGATCTGGATCGGCGCAGGCTTGGAGGGCCAAAGGGCCTGTTCCTGAGCTGCAATTTTCTTGTTCTTTGTTCTTTGAATCTCTACAGGGGTGTGTTTTTCTCTCATCGCCACTGAAATAACTCCACAAAGGCCAGTATCCGTCATTAAGTCACCCTTTATTTACATGTGCATAGTACATGACACTGACACAGCTAGCTCAGAGCCAGCTCCTAGTGAACAGAACTCCTGACACTCCTGTTTATACCCGTCAGCCAGGACTGTCTGATTGGAACAAGTTAACAGCTCCAATTGGGGAACTCATATTCTATGAGGTCCACCTGGTTGACCTCATTCCAATCACTACGCTCTCTGTTCAGTTCCACTGCATGCTCATATATCCTGAGGTTACAAGACCCTCTTTGTATGACTATGTCTTCTTTCTCCATCTCAGTTTTATAGTTAAGTTTTGGAATTTTCATTACTTTTTCTCAAATGTCACGGGTTACTTCAATTGGAAATTTCTAATGTCAGCCTAGTTCTGTGTTGTGACCATCTGATTGGCGAGGGTGAATATTTAGGCTGTAGTATTTTGCCTTTGGGTTTCTTTGATTTAAATCCACAGATCCTGCTGAATGTTTCCAAAATTTTAAGGATATGTCTTCAGAAGAAAATGGAATTGATAGCATATCCCAGATGTATAAGTCATGAGTAACAGAAAAGTACAATCTAAAAATTTGCAACTTGTCATACCCTCTAAGATATACACAATAGACGGAAGAGCAGAGCAACAAGAACAGATCATTAAAACCTATAAGCCTGCTCGAACATTTATTTAAATAATGGATAGTCTGCACTGCAACACTCGCATATATCAATTTATCTCTATTCAACCTGTACTTCTGCAAGGTTCTTGGCACTTCCTCAAATCTCAGTTATGTTAATTTTCACTTTTATCTCTCATTACCTGCTGTTATTCTCCGTTTTTCAGTGAAACTCCCGGGTTTTCTTCCTCTGCTAAAAGATCGTTAACCTTTTAACTGTTTTTCTTTCTCCAGACTGACCTAATGGATGTCTTCCAGTACTTACTGCTTTGATTTCAGTTTTCTCCCTCTGTCTAATCTTTCCGTCTGCCAAAATGCCTCCAACACGTCAAGTTTAGTCCCAAGCAGCTCTGTGATGAAGAACTCTGTGCTTTAAAGTCTGTTCTCTGGAATGCACACCAAGATAAATATCAACTGTGCCTGGAAGACCATCAACCCAGTGAAACACATTCTTTGGTCTGCCTGAAACCTGTTGGTCTTCCAGAGCAAGGAGTAAACCTCGACAGACTGATGCAGACTGGCATATTCTAAGGTCCAAGACTATGTGCTAAGGGACGCACTAAAGCTTAGCACAGCTGCCACAAGGTGCAATGGGGAAAGACCATCGTCTAAGGTCTTTCTGCTGAAGTTAAATGGAGATCTGTTCAGTTACCAGATACCCCAGTGCCTCAAATGCATGCAAATATTGTGTTGTACAAGTAAGAGACGCCTTTAATTTGTTTGTTGGATAGAGTCAAGCTCCAATGTTTGTTTCAAAAACAGAAATTGCTGGAAAAACTCAGCAGATCTGGCAGCACCTGTGGAGAGAAACCAGAGTTAAAGTTACAGGTTGAGTGACCTTTCCTCAGAACCTTCCTCAGGAGTTCTGAGGAAGTGTCAATTGACCCAAAACGTTAACTCTGATTTCTCTCCACAGATGCTACCAGACCTGCTGAATTTTTCCAGCAATTTCTGATTTATAGCATTGCAGTTCTTTTGATTTTTATCCAATGTTTGCTTGTTTCTTCATATGCTTCTGTAGGGAACCAAGCTGATTCAGTGGCTATGTATGTTTACAACGATATATTTATGAATAAAGTATATTTTTCAAATAAAAAAAATTCCAAAAACTTGTGTCCACAAACGATCCTTGTGCCTATTTATGCTATTTGTGTCCCTACTATTGATTTTGGATATCACCAACCTCTCCCCTTACATTCTCTAACTTTGGTTATATCCCATTCCTTGACTTTTCCCTTTGTTTCGTTCACCGTATCTCTTACAGACTGGCAGAGTTGGTTTTCATTTTGCAGTATTGTGTCTCATTTTGTTGTAGTTTCTGTTTTCATGTTGCCTAATACTGAGTTCTGATGAATCATAAAGTGCTGTGATTTGAGTGGTTTGTAAATTGAGGCTGCTGGAAGCCAAGGCCTGTTTTACAACTTGCAAATCTGCAGGTTTGCTGGATTACGGACATGACAATTGATATTTACAGTAAATGAATATATTCTGTGTAGAATTTTATGCAGTACTTGTTACATTTTTATTTGAAAATATCTAATGGCTCTTGGAAGTCTGTTTTAGAAGTTTTGAGGACTTGTTTGCAGATTTTGTGTTTCTGAGGTGGCTGGAGGGGAATCAGCGAGGGATGCCATGATTATGGATTCACAAAGTTCTGAAGTGGATACTATTTCATATTTACTTTCTTTCTTGTTAATTTTTTTACTCTTTATTTTTAGTGACAGCCACTTTGGGTCAGAGTTTCTGCTTTAAACTCATTCTGTGGAAAAGGCACAAACTGTGTGTTTTTGAGAAATGTTTTCCTTTCTTTTGAACTTCCACTCAAAGTTTACTTGCAGATCGCAGAAAGCAAAATTTGCCACAATATTGGGCAACTTTTTAAAAATATTACATTTTAAAAATGATTTTGATAAATACCTCTGGTTTGATGAATCTTGTGGATGAGACCAGGAGGAGGTCATCCCCTGCTTGTAACTTTCAAGTTCGAAGGTCCTGGAGACATTTTTAAAAGGCATTCGACCAAACATTCACATGCTGCAATGCTGGAACATCACTCAGGCTGTCAGAGATGACATCCCCAGGCATACATTTTGTCCCTTCTACAATCGGTCCCCCTTTTATGGTCAGCCTACCACCCTTGTCCAGGGAGACTTCCACCTTTGGCCAGATTTCTTTACTTGTGTCAATGACTATTGAACCTCTCTCTTTCTGTCATCCTGCATGCCCTGTGCAACTTAGATTGTTACCGTCCGATCTCAATTGTAGCCTGACACAGATATGCATTCCTCAAAGATAACAGCGCAAATTCCAGAAGTACACTAACTTGCCTGTATGCCTCTAATACACAGTCAGGAATTTCAAGGCTTGACTTGCTTGCTCTTGAATGGTATGAGTTGGTGAGTTCTGGTGAGTTGGCCTATTATTAAGCACTCACAAATGGCAAATACATACAAAAAGGCCTATTGGACCTTTCCTTTAATTTCCATTTACTAAATTACATAGGATTCTGACCTTTTATCTCCCATATCACTCTGCCTCTATTCCCAATTCCACGAGCAGCATAAGGGACTAACCTACTTCAATAAAAGCCACTGTGTGGTGCTATGGAGTGGATTTTTTTTATTGGACAATGTGTGCACTCAGTGGAAGGTGAATGAGCAGCAGTTTAGGTGGAGTGAATTAATATTGCCCTTTTAAAAGGTATTTTTCAGATAAAACTATCCTTCAAAAGGCGTTCTTCTTTTGTAGTTTGTTTGTTTTTAAAAGAAAACTTATCTGTGGTTGAACACAATCCTGCATGCTGACAGTATGTTTTGTAGGCCTCAGTATTTCCTACAGCTTTTATTTAGAAGCTGTCCTGTTCACAATGTGCTGCAATTCGGGTGGTTTGTAAATTGAGGCTGCTGGAAGCCAAGGCCTGTTCTACAACTTCCAAATCTGCAGGTTTGATGGATTAGGGTCATGGTAATTGATATTTACAGTAAATGAATATCTTCTTTGTAGAATTTTATGCAGTACTTGTTACACTTCTTTTTGAAAATATCTAATAGCTCATGGAAGTCTGTTTGGGGACTTGTTTGCAGATGATGTGTTTCTGAGGTGGCTGGAGGGGAATTAGTGAGTGACACCATGATTATGGATTCACAGGTGACTGGTGAAAGCTATTGCTGTAATTCGGTTTGGTCCCTGAATTTGGGATTTCAATGAACAGTAAAATTCAATCCAGACTAGCTATGAGTTGTATTCCCAACATAAAAGCAAGATCTCCAAACACTTTTAGGCAGGTTTGAAGCACGATTGTTGGAGGCATGATCAGTGGCGAAAGAGATTAGTTTTCAGGTGACATTCAAAGGGTTGTGATGCGTATCAGGTTTGGGCAAGCATTCCAGGGAGCATAGAAACTTACAAAATAGGTAGACTCTTCAGCCGCTCTAATAGGACCTTTGCTGTAGAGTGAGGGAACAGGGAACCAGCAGTAAACTCAAGGCAGACAAGCACAACTTGCGAACTGGAATATGGGGCTGGATGATAATGTTTTAGATGATGCAGATAGAGTCATGGAATCATACAGATTGGGAACAGACTCTTCAGTCCAACTCGTCCATGCTGACCAGGTTTCCTAAACTAAACTTGTCTCACTTGCCTGCGTTTGGCCCATATCCCTCTAAACCTTTCCTATTCATGTACCTATTCAAATATCTTTTAAATGTTGTAACTGTACGTGCATCTACCACTTCCTCTTGCAGTTCATTCCATACACGAACCACCCTCTGAGTGAAAAGATTGCCTCTAGGGTCCTTCTTAAATCTTTATCTTCTCACCTTCAAAATATGCCCCCTAATTTTGAACTCCTCCACCCTAGGGGAAAGACCTTTGCTATTCACCGTTTCTATGTTGGAGTAAAAATCTAAACTTACATTATATATTACCTCCGGACTCTTGAAAGCATTTGACGGAAGCAAGGACATACAGGTATCATGTTTATTTTGTAACATTGATCTGAAGGAAATTTTCATCTATCCAACAGTTATTGTCAGACGGACAATTTAAAAATTTCAGTAGCAGTCTTAGGATGTTGCGAGGGAGAATTGGCTATCGCTGCTTCATCCTTTGCTAATTGTCTAATCTTCTCCATCTCTCCAACTCTCTAAGATCCCTGAGGTCCTCACACTCTATCCTCTTCTTCACATCACACATTGACAGCCAGATGTCTCAGCCCTCACTGGAGTTCTTTCCTTCAACATCTCCTTTTAGATGCTACTTAAGGCACACAAGAATAATACAGAACTATTGTAGAAAATACATGGCGTATGGAAAAACACCTTCAACGAACCCGTGTCTTATATGGTTTACAGTTTGGGGAAAAAGGATCAAATTTAGTAAGATTCAGGACTACTCAGTGCTGCTCAAAAATCTCCCTTGTATATTTTCCGATATTTAGAATGGTTCACCGAATGCGCTCAGAAGTTACACTTTGCAGCATCAAAGTTGTCAAGAAATACACTGCAACCTGAAATAGACAAGCTTCCAATCTATCAAGTTCCCTGATCAAACAATTAATTTGATTGTTCTCCGTCTCTGTTGACTTGACAATTAAACATTGCAGTCTTAAAGAGCAACTGCTTCATCTGAATAATATGCCATGTATTACACAATATACACTAACTTCCTTAATTAGTCACTTACAGTATCAGGAGAGATGGGGCACTGTATGAAACACACACCTGTCACATTTCTGAATTCAATTGAAAAATATCCATTCCTTTTAAACACAGGAGCAAGTCTCTCAGTTCCTGCTAGCATTTCTAATCTTACTCTTGTGGTCTTTCTCCCTAGTTAAGGGCTGGAATTTACAAGTAATGTACTGTAACCTCCATCAATTAATCTCTAATGCAGTTCAGTTCCTGCGTAATTAAGCTGCTTCATCACGGAAGATAACTGCAAAGAGACAAACCAAATGTATCTTAGTGGCTCAGCAACTGTAGTTCAGCCTAGTAAGTTCCACTTAGATACATTTAAGAATCTGTTGAAATTCATTCCCGCTCGCATACTTTCTCTTTAAATATGAATCAAAGCCACAGGTAATGCGAGAGTACTGGAATGTAGTGGTATCTGAAGTAGACCTGAAACATTGACTTTGCTTCCTCTCCACAGATGCTGCCAGACCTGCTGAATTTCTCCAGTAATATCTGTTTTGCTGCTGGTATATAGTGTCTGTCCGTTAACTACATTACAATAGTGGCTACACTTCAAAAGTATATAATTGACTGTAAAGTATTTTGAGGGATCAAGTGACAATGAAATGTGCTACATCAATGCAAAATTTTCTTCTTAGCCTGAAGTTTTCAATGACTGATGATCACTGCATAATAAAAAAAATCCATAGCTCCGAAAATCCTGATTGCCCAGTTCCCTATTTGAAATGCGACAAGTGGCATGGTACCTTCCAGTCAATCTCTGCATTGGCAGGACATGTGCTTGTTGATGCCCAGTTCAGAAATACCTCCATTTTAATATTTTCATCCCTGCATTCAATCCTTCCATAACCATTTTTTCACTATCTTCATAACTTCTTTCTGCTATCTTTGCAACCTCCTATAGCATTAGAGCACTTCGAGATCTCTGGATAACTGATTCTGACCTCTTGAGTTTTATTGCTTCAACACTGGTGACTATGTCTTCAGCTCCCTAGGCCCGAAGCTCCTTTATTCCCTCCCCAAATCTCTGCTCCTTCAACCGTGCTCTCTCCTCCACTAAAATATTTCCTAAAACCTATCTCTTTGACTTAGCTTTTGGTTATCAGAATTAATATTTCCTTAACAGGTTAGCTGTCAAATTTGAATTGGACACTATCCTGTGAAGCAGTTTGGAATGATTCCTACATTAAAGATTGGGTCAGAGAGAGAGAGATGTTTTGCCTGTTTCAGAGTCTTTTGTCTCCACCTAGATCCCTATATTAACTTTCCGGTCTCACCCTTCAGGTGCCCACAATTGGGAACCATAGTCATTGTGGGGTCAAATTGTTTTACATAGGCTTAGCAAAACTTACAAGCCTTTGTGCTCTATTCCTCTATTTATAAAGACGATCAAAAACACAGGCCTCAGTATGATACACAGTACAACTTTGGCTTTGTTGGGCAATTACACGCAACTTGGTCATTCATTGAATACAATCATCTCTTTGAAACTGGCCTTACAATATCCAAATCCCATCATCCAAAAGACTTTGGCTTTATCAACAGCAAAATGAAACTTTTTCATTGACTGATCAGTATTTTCTCATTTTAAATTGAAATTAACCAATCTTACAAATGCTTTTACCATGAAGCATGAAGTAGGAAAACAAAATGGTGGAAATCTGAAATAGGAAAAGGAAATGCTGGAAATACTCAGCAGGCTAGAAAGCATCTCCGGAGAGAAATACAGACTCAACACATCGGATTCACAATCTGCATTGGTTCTGATGAAGGGTCACAGACCTCTGTCCCTCTCTCTGCATAGACACTGCCAGACTTGCTGAGCATTTCCAATATTTCCTGTTTCTTTTGAACAAAAATAACCCTTTTTCTCAGCCCTCCAAAAACAATCAGATTTCTTTTGAAAAAAAAAAATACCAAAGATGCTGGAAATCAGAAACAGAATGAGAAGTTGCTGCAAAAACCCAGCAGGTCAGGCAACATTTGTAGAGAGAAAGTAGAGTTAACGTTTCGGGTCCAGTCAGCCTTCCTCAGAAGCCCCCTTCAGCAGGAAACCAGCAGCAGCTGTCTGAGATGTGGGTGGAAAACATTAAGCATCAACTTGAAAAAAAATTTGTTACGATGTGAGGACAACATGAAGAACCTGCTGAACAAAAGAAAATTCAAAGTTTGAGAAATAATCAATCATTTAAAAATATAAGTGATGGGTGCTAACAGGAGAGCTAACTAACAAAATCTTTCCTCTTTTTGATTAAGAAACAGATTCAGTAGGCCTCAAGGCCTGGTCACCAGGGAAGAGGAGGGGAACTGCAGCCAAGTGAAAGAGATGGTTTTAGGTTGTATTTGTTTCAGGTGATGCGCACTCCAAGTTGGCCATAATGGAATTGTGATGAAAGTGGAGATTGGAAGGGGGTTGCCTTTCAGCCTGCATGTTCTTTCTCTCCCGACCCAGTGTGTGGGTGGATATTGAAGGGTGGGGCAATGTTTTTTGTGACCCCCATCCTCCCCCGTACTGAGCAGCTTCTGTTTATTTGTGTGTGTGTGTCCAGCTCATTCCCAGTCTCAGAATTCTCTTTCTCTCTCACACATACTCAGTCTTTTTCATTCTCCAACATGTGCACACATAGACACACAATTTCTCTCTCGCACACAACACACATTCTGTCACACACATAAACATTCTCTATTTCTCTTCTCTCTCTATCTCATACACACACACTCTCTCTCTCATACACACACTCTCTCTATCTCTCTCACACGCATACTCTCCGTCTCTCTCACACACACACTCTCTCTATCTCAAACACACACTCTGTCGGTCTCTCTCACACACTCTCTCTCTCTATCTCTCACACACACACTCTCTCTCTCTATCTCACACACACACACTCTCTGTCTCTCACACACACACTGTCTCCGTCTCAGACAGACATGTACATTTCCTCTCTGTCTCACACACTCTGTCTGTCTCAGTAACTTTCTCCTGATCCATCTCTCTCATAC